GTGTCCCCTGGAGAACCTGCGAGAGAAGGGCAAGGATTCAGAGGAGGTAGAACACATGGGGAACATAACAAAGCAACAGGTGGTGTTTTAAGCACAAAATTCTACTCCTTTTAAAAACATTTTATTGCAAGCTGCCACAGGTCCCAAATCAAGAAGGTTGTATATTCAAAAAATAAGATCAATAAAAAGGAATAAAATGAACAAGTTAACAAAGCAACAGGTTGTGTTTTAAGCACAAAATTCTACTCCTTTTAAAAACATTTTTATTCCAAGCTGCCACAGGTCCCAAATCAAGAAGAAAGGTTGTATATTCAAAAAATAAGATCAATAAAAAGGAATAAAATGAACAAGTTGTCTAGTTATTGAATGCAACGCCAGGCCTCTTTAATGATTTTCTCACAAGAACATCAGATCTTTCAGAAGCAAGGCAGCCCTCTTTACCTGCCTAAGGAAGCACTTCTGCAGATGGAACAAGGACTAACATTCATTGCCACACTAGCCCAAGGTGGATTCCTCAGGCAGGCGGCCAAGGGGGCACCCAGGAAGTGCCTGGTTAGGTCAAGGGGAAAGTCTGCTTTCTCTGCCACTCTGCAGAACGCATGCCTTTAAGTAAGCTACTTTCAGCTCTGCTGGGAACCTAACAGCTGCGTGGAGGGAGGCAGAGGTGAGCACACCCAGCTTAGAGGGAACCTTGTCACTGAATGTTTTAAAGGAGCGTGGGTTCCCTTCTCCTTAGGAATCCTGCTCTCTTGAACTGGAAGACCCTTTACATGGCAAAGCACAGGCTGACAACACAGCTACTGGGCAAAACCTAGTGCATGGCCCCACCCCAGTCCCTACGCACAGCGTAAGTTAACAAAGCATTCCATCGTCACGGGTGAGCTACTGCTTACCCTTGCCACCATTCTTTTAAATTCTGGTGCTGTTTTGTTTTAGGAAGGAGGAATGGGGAGGAATGTTAAGTGACAGTATAAAAAAGTGCTTTTTACACACCCAACAAGAGAAGTAGATCAGAAGCTCCTATGACTTCACTAACCAAATTGTAACCTGTGGAAAACCAGCAAAAAAGGGGAAATAAAAATTATAAATACAAACAAATGGCAAAGCAAATGTGAGACATGTTGGTCTCCTGGGCAGGAAAGGCTGGACAGACATAACGGCACATGTAACAAACATGGCTTGCCACAGAACAGAAGCGGATGGGCTGGAAACCAATCACAATGAAGGACCGCTTTTTGAAAAACTGAAAGTGCATAGGAGGGTCTCATCTACTTGTTTTTAGTTTCTCCTAGAGTTCTGGGCTGCTCTCCTGTTCCAAGAGCACTTGGTAACAGGACAGCAAACAGGAATGCAGATTTCCTGGAAGAAAGAGAAAGCTGTGGGGGTCCCCAGCCAAGCGGATGCTGCCAGCGCCACCAACAGCCTGAGAGCAGCCTGGCAGAACGGGCAGGGCCTTGGGACACCAGAAAAATCCACTTCAATCTGGAGGGCTGCAGACCCTACACTCGAGCAAACCCATTCAGAGCACTCACTGCAGCTGGACTCGCTCTTGGCCAGGAGAAAAGATAGGTGGCTGCAGGCTTCAGGAAACCCACAAATTTACAGTACTCCCCTTCCCTCTCAAAGTGTGTGTGTGGGAATCCCCCAAACAGCCCAGTAAGAATAGGGAGCAAAATAGAGGCTGACTGTTGGGGGCAAACTAAAACTTGGGAATGGTGGGAGCTTCCCTACTGCTAAAAAGGTGATTCTTCAGCGGCTTCAAACTTTGGCTCCCCAGATATTCTTGGACTGCAGCTCCCAGAAATCCAGGCCACCACAGCTAGTGGTGAAGGCTTCTGGGAGTTTTAGTCCAACCCCATCTGGGGACCCAAGGCTGGGAACCACTGCTTTAGATGAAGGTTAACGAAGTCACAACATTGCTCATTTGCAACTTTCTGCACATTCTTTCCACACATTGGCTTATGAGACCAAAACTGAAATTCTCTTACCAGGTGTGAATAAACCAGCCAGTGACCTGACACTCTCTCCAATCTTCTCAAAGTCCGGCATCAGCTTGGCCAGGTCCTCTGAATCAGGAAGAGCTTTTGTAAGTTTTTCTAGAAACCCAAGAAGAAGAGGAAGGAGAAATTGATCACTTCCAAAATTTCAAGGCAATAACAAACCGTCAGCTTAGCCTTCACCTAGATTGTCAGAGTCGATTTTCATCTCAAAATGTTAATTTTTTTGCAGAACATGTTTTAAAAACTATTGCAGATGATATGAATGCATTTTTTCAAAATCATTCGCTAGACTTCCATGTAAGTGGAAGGTTTCCATCCACCTTTTACCAGCACCTATGCCAGAAAACTCACTTTCAAGTTTGAGAAAGGACTGTTGATTTTTAAAAAAGAAATCTGCTTTTATAAATACACAAAACACATCTTTTGGACTGGCATACGAGGGGGGGGGGGAAGACCCAGGAGACTGTAAGCAACTAAAAAGCCCTCTACCGTCTGATTTATTTTTCTAACACTCAATAGTGCGATACACACTTTCTGAGCAGTGAACAGCCACCATGTATAAACTACAGATAACCCAACTATAACCACTGACAAATGATAATAAGTATATTCAAGGGCTGTATGCCTTTAACTTTGTTGCACAGAAAGGGATGGCTTGCAGTTACGCAGATTCCTCCGTATACAACTGACACTCAAGTTCTGCACAAATTCAATGTGAAAAGAAAAATGGCGAACTGTTGTTGTTTAGTTGTTAAGTCGTGTCCAACTCTTTGTGACCCCATGGACCAGAGCACACCAGGCCCTCCTGTCTTCCACTGCCTCCCAGAGTTGGGTCAAATTCATGTTGGCAAACTAGCACCTACCAAAGTCTATGTACTCGTCCAGTTCCCAGATGAAGTCAGGCACAATCCACTTGTACTCGCTGAGATCGGGAAGCACCTCCTTCCACTGGTCATACGTCTGGAGCAAGAGGCAGAAAGACATCCACAAACATTCGTGCTACTTACCAGGATGAATGAGACAAATTGCAGGCCAGGAAAAACGAGGTGCTTCCTCTTTTTCACTGGCTTTGACATGGAACTGCTGCAAATTCCAGTCTTACAACCAGTTCTCCTTTTGTCTCAAGCCGTTCGCTACAGCCGATTTATTTTACAAGCCAGAACTTCACGTGCAGAAAGGAGCAGAATTGTACACATCAATGGAGAGCAAGGCCAGAAAGGAGGCCTGCTCTGGGATTACCCTTACAGGATCCACAAAGGGTTTAAATGTTTATGAACCCCGAAGGCGACTATTTCTGCACTCTTTCAATACGCAAGAATCCTAAGGCTTGGTCAAGCAACCACACAAGTCCCAATGACTTCCAACTGCCAGCTCTGGTGGGATCACAACACCGACAAGTCAAACAGAGTAGGCATCAATGCCACAGGGCTTTATGGTGTTTGCCATTCAGGCTATTTGACAATACAGTGTAGTTCTTCTGATCAAGAAGCCAAAACTACTCTTTTCCAGTGCACCCTCTAAGGAGGACTGCTGCATCACCAACAGACAACAGCACTCCACAGGGTTCACCTTTTAAAGCACCTTTGGCATGCCACACCGGGAAAGTTAGGCAGCTTGGCCTGCCATTATATCCAGGTTCTTCCAACTGGGGAAGACAAGTCAACCAAAGCAGTTATTTTCTAGAGGCCCAGCTCCATGCTAAAACCTCTCCTCACCCCCACCCAGTGGTAGAAAGAGTGAGGAGATAATGTCCTTGGAGAGAGGACAGGTGCAAGAGATTGACTAGCATAGGGCATGTGTGGCAGGAGCAAACACTGGAGAGGTCTTTGCCCCCAAAGGCACTCTTATCCATCCGTATATTCCACAATGTTTTGTAGCCTTTGTAATTCTATAAATCTCTATCGCTTGCTTCTCACATATATTTCATGCAGGCATTTCTTGGCCAAGAAAAAGGCACCCTCCCATCAGCAACGAGGTACCCTCCACGATCAGCCTTCAAAGGATGGTGCTAGACCGTGCGGTGAGCATCAAAAGCAAACGCCCAGAGCCGAGGCCTTTGCAACCCCCGACTGTCCCCAGGCCTACCTTTTTGGCTGTGTAGCCTCCGCCCACCGCAGATCCGAGGAGGATGTACCGAAGCCTTAGAAGCCTTGACGCCACTCTGGCTAGCCAAAAGTGCCGGCGAGGTTGGTATCCATACTTTACAACAAGTCTGGCTTTACACCCAGGAAGGCGACTGAGAGTAGAGAACTGGGGCGTGGATGCCTGCAATGGAAGCCTCCGAAACTTGGAAACTGGATGGCGGGAATGATGGATGCTCCGGGAAGCGAGATGCAGTTTCTGTAGCGGTGGCCGTCCTCTCGTTCCATAGGTCCCATTGACTAGGTTTCGGCACAGGAGGCTGGAGAAGAAAAGACGGGGGCCTATTCACACTGCAGTTTTGTGGCTTTACTTGGCATTTCAGCACCTTCCCAGGCTTGAAAGCAGACAGAACTGCACAAGATAGACAGAACCTGTTGACAGCAGGAACCTCCCCTACCCACCCCCCTGAACCGCCACAGGTGTCCCTCACAAGAAGATGCAGATTTCCCAAGGGCAGGAGAATTTCTATCAGGTCAGTACCTTACACAGTGCTGCCTTGGGTCCTTTTAAAAAGAAAGGCAGAGTAACAACATTTAAAATCAATTAATTAAATAAAAGCAACCTGCTGAAATATCACAAATGCACAGTAAGCTATTAGGCTCCCCAAAGTCTGACACAGTGTTAGTCACAGCTTCAGTGCAGGTTTATAATTACGAGGCTGCCCCATGGAAGGTCCCCCCAAGTGAGGGAAAAACTGCCCCCACACAGAGCTTTGGCCACGTCCAACAGAACCTGAAATCAAAGGAATGGAGGAATCGAAAGACAAGACGGCTTTGGCCTGGCAAAGGACAGACCAAAACCAAGCGGAAAAACAGACATGGCAGCCCTCCTCCTTCCAAGAAGGCCTCATCGAGGGACCAAGACAGCCCCTAAAGTGGCTCCTGCACCAGAACCAGTTCCTTTTAATTCTACCCAGCAAGCCCATTTTCACACAAAAGGAGAGACTCCATCTGGGCTGAGAAAGAGGTGGCCCCTCGAGACGAGGCTGAACCATCATCCTTCAGTGCCCATCGTGAGAGTGAGGGAAGGCTTGGTTGGTCCAACTCATTGAGGTGGGGCTGGAAGAGTTTCCCCCTTGAAAGACACCTTGCCACGGCTTAGCGTTGTTTATTTATTTATTAGATTTACAGTATATCCCTGCCCATCTAGACGGCAGTCTACTCTGGGTGGCTAGCCAGAGTGCGGGAGATATGCTGATATTTCCTCCTCCCACTGAGAAGTCTGGCCATCGCCATCTGAAGCTCCCGCATCAGTCTCAAAGGTAGCCCCACGAAGAGGGCATTACAGTAGTCCAATCTCGAGACTGCAAGCGCATGCACTGAAGTGGTGAGGGCCCCGCCATCAAGATAGGGACGCAGTCGTTTCCTTTCGGATCCTGAGAGGAAGAACCGGCGGGCAGCAAAACCACCCCAGACCAGCAGACGCCATCCCGGCTCAAGGAGGCCCCCAGGAAAGAAGCTGCACGGTTGTTTCCCGAGGCGCCCAGAGGCCACTTCAGCCTTAGAGGAGGGCACTTGGAGGGAGGGAGGGCGCCCGCCGGCTGGCCGGGCCGCCCCTGCCACGCCTGGAAGGGT